CGCTGTACAGCCGTGCCACTGGCCCCCAGGAGCATGGCCAGGCACCGAGTCTGCACCAGGTGGCACGGAAGGCTTCCTGGGGAAATGTCGCTGTGATGGAGACGAGGATGAAGGGCACTCCAGGTGGGAGGAACAGCATGTGCAAAGGCCACAGACTGGCCCCCTGTTCCAGCCCGTGGAGCGAGGGGTGGAGAGTCTGCACCTGAGCTCATGCAGGTGCAGCCCCACCTGCGTGGGAGGCGGGAGAGATGGTCACGCACATGAGGGGCGGAGCACTCGACAGGGACACAGGTCGGCTGCCCCTGCCCGCCCTCCCCAGTGGCGGGTCCCCTAGGCCTCCCCTTCTTTCCAGTAGGGCCTGGCAATTACCACCTTCTCCAGCCACGGCCATTTAGGAAATGCCAGTGATTAGCGATGGTTATCGTGGTAATTAAAATTCCCTGGGCACAGCTTGGCCAATATTCATCAGTATCTGCAGTCGGGCTGGCCGTGCCTGAAATCGTAATGAAAGCCTGGAAGCAGAGCACACGCCGGTGCCACGGAGAGGACTTAATGCCATTGGCCACCCCAGGCGAGTGCCATGGCGGCTGTTGGGGTCTTTCCTCATTAAATGGCATTTTCAAAGTCGACTGCTTTGCTGGCCTTATCACAGCAAACCACACGCGGGGAGCAGAGTGGGGCTCTGCAGCCTTGCACAGCTTCTCCAGATGGTGACCCTCTCCTGCTCTGTGGCCCTAGCCGTGGTGGGGTGGGGTGGGGTGGGGTGGGGCGGGGATTAACACCACGGAGGGTTTTTCCTGCCACTGGGCTGGGGGAGGGGGCCAGGCACTGATGCCAGGCTGTGGGGGTCGGGCCTGGGTGCAGGGAGCAGAAACCACGTGAAAAGTTACTGTTGTGCATTTTGCAGAGTGAGGGTAGGCATGGAGGCGAGGGGAGGCCCGAGGATGCACATGGATTGGCATGGGGGGAGGGTGGCTGCTCCGAGCTCAGCCGAGCTGGGATCCCTCACACCTCGCCTCACCAGTCCTGCTCTCCCGTGTGGAAGGCATTCCCCAAATACTGACCGTGTGTTCATGCACCTCCACCCCGGTGTGCCCTCCACGCTGGGCGATGCACCCGTGTCCCCTGCCGGAAGGACTCAAAAAGTGCTGCTCCTCCAGCTGGTCCAGGGTCACCAGCCAGTCTGGGCTGGTCAGGTCTCTGCCCACCGTGATGGCATGAGGCCTTCACCGGACTTCAGTGCTAGCAGGAGGGAAGCAGACAGACCTCAGGCCCCGTTACAGGGGGCTCAAGGAGTAACTGACCTGCCCACTGGGCCCTGGGGAGGCACTGACGGCTGGCAGACCCATGGGATCCCTGCCTCTGCTGAGCATGAATATCGGGGTGAATTGTATGAAGTTGACAAGGGGGTTATAGGTCAAAAGTGGTTGAATACCATTAGAAAGGTAGAATGGTGTATCAGCCGTCCCATGCAATTCAACCTACTAGTTTAAATCCTGTGCTCGTTATACTGTCTTCCCAAAGCATTTGGCTGATCAGTGTTTTTTAAGGGGGGAGAGGATGGAGATGAACTGTAGCAACAGGAGGTGAGGCTGATGGCGTGGCGCCTGACTGTGATAAAATAACCAGGTTGGGCAGGCAGCTGGGGCTGTGGGTCTCCCTGGTGCTAGAGGAGGGACTGGGAGCATGCAGCTGCCTTGTGCTCTGGAGCTCATGGCCAGGGAGGCTCACGGCAGCTTGCTCTGCACTGGCATGCCCTTCCTCTTCATTCCTCTTTTAATCTGAAACAGTCAATCCATTTGATTAATTGCAAGAACTTGGATGAAACCCTCAGGCCACTTCCCCAGGAAGGCAGCAGGCTATGGAAAGGAACACATTCCAACCAACAACCCGTGCTGCCAGTTCAGCCACTCAGCAGTGTTCACTGTGTCAGCACCTACTGTGTCAGGAGTGTGCCGGGAGCCTGAAGATACAGGGGAGTGAGCAGAAGCACCCTGCCCCTCCCTCTGGGTGGTGGTAGGTCCTAGTGGGAAAGACAGATAAAGATGAAAGTGCCAGACGAAAGGTGGAAGCAACCAATGAATGGATAAACAGACTGTGGCATATCCATACAACGGAATATTATTCAGCCTGAAAAAGGAAGGAAATTCTGACACATGTTGCAACATGGATGAACCTTGAGGACATATACTGTACTATATGATCCCACTTGAAAGCTGAAAACCACACAAGAATGAAGAGTGAGCCACATCTCGGAGCCACCCTCAGAGTGGTCCCAGCCACTTCCCTTCAAACAGGATCTTGGCTGGCCAGGCAGGAGGGGAGTGTGCCCTCCACCCGAGACGGGGTGCCCTGGGGTGGCAGCAGGTCCCCATCACCCATCCCCCTGCAGCACCTAACTCTGGTGACCTCAGGACCTGACAAGGCCTCCCCCAGCCCATCACCCCAGGGGCACTGCTCCTGAGCCGGGTCCCAGACCAGACCCTGGGTCCCACCAGCAAAGGTAGTGCGGTTGACACTTAGCACCCCAATGGGGACTTGGCTTTTCTTCCTGGAGAAAAAAACATACGTCATCATCTCACGTACACACACCCGTTGACCTGGCGGGCAGTTCCGCTCCCCAGATGTTCCCAGGCGGTGACTGACACCTGTGATGACGTGTGTGCAAGTGATGGTTGCAGCTCTGCTCCTAAGGGGAGAACTGGAAACAATTTAAATGCCCATCCATGGGGGGCGAGTGTAAATTTCACAAGTCCAAACTGTGGAGCCATGAAAACCTGATGGTGAAGACCATTACTGTTAACACAGAACAGCAGCTACGATATAAAGTTAAGTGGGGGCAAAAACAAACTACATGAAGTTCTTTAAAAAAAAAAAAAAGAAGTGTGTATGCCCAGGAAAGGGTGTAGAGTATTCCCAGCACAGTGCTCAGCGGGGCTCCCTCTGTGTGGCAATGTTGCGAGTGACCTAAAGTTGCTTCATTTGACTTTTCTGTTATTGTCCTCATTTTGTAATCTGTGTGTGCATTTCTCTTCTAAAGGCGGGGGGGCAGTTTCCATGGCAGCGGTGGGGAGGCAGTGTGTGGGGTCCTAAGCCAACCCAGCCCCACCGTTCACACATGGCTCTCGAGAGCTTCTTTGCTTGGTCCCCCGCTGTCCCCCTGTTGGGGGACAGGAGGCTGACGTGTTCGGCGGGGGGCAGGCAAAGCCAGGGCTGATGGATGAGCAGACCTTCGCTTAGCAGAGGGAGGCCAGTGAGTCACTCACCCTCCCCATTGCCTCCCGCTGGGGCACCTGCACTCAGGAGCCAGGCAACGGCTCTGCAGGGACAGGGCGGCCTTGGCGGCTGCTACTCATGCGAGTTTTCTCTCCCCGTACGGCACTTCCCTCCCCGCCGGGCGTCCATCCTGCAGGATGCTTAGTGTCCACGCTGAGAACCCACTGAAGAGTCATCACCGCTCAGCCACGTTTAGTGAGCGTCTGTAAACTTCCGGGGTGAGACTCTGGCCTCCAGTGCGGAGGTGAGGCCAATAGCGTGACGGGTTGGCCTCGGGCAAGTGGCTTAACTTGTGAGGGCCTCAGTTTTTCCGCCTGGAAAGTGGGAATAATAATAGAACTTCCTCAAAGACTGTTAACACACCAGGTGCCTCTGGGAATGGGGAGGAGACTTTTCGATTGTGTGCTTTGTGAATTTTAAATCATGTGCGTGTGTTGCCCATTGAAATAATAGTTACGTATTGTAGGAGGGCTGCAGAGAGGACCAGCGAGGGCCAAAGGGGCCCCGCGAAGCAGGCATCCACCGGACGGGTTCAGTTACTCAAGGGCCCCACAGAAGCAGGCCCTTCTGCACAAGGTAGCTGGGAGGGAGGGTGAGCGACTCGTGCCAGGGACAGGGCTTGGACGCTGGTCCCGTGCCCCGCACTCTGGAGCACGAAGAGGTGACTGCTGGCCGCTGGGAGAAACAGATGCCCGTCACGCACTGAGTAAACAGCCGGTGCTGTACCGCGAAGGGCTCAGTTTATGCAGACCCTGGACCAGGGTTGAGTTTCTCTATGAAAACTTGCCAGTTGGTTTCAAGTGGGAAGCGCGTGTGGTTCGTCCTGTTGGAGAGCCCGGTGGGCTTGGCACAGTCAAGGCTCTGAGAATTCCTGCAGTCACCGCTTGGTTCAACCCAGTGCTTGCCCGTGTGCGTCCTCAGGACCCTTTGTTTCTGCCGGGTTTTGTGTGAGAGGAGCCCCTGTTAACAGCCCACGGAGCGAACGTGGTGCGGAGGAAGTCTGGGGAGACTCTGGCCTTCTCATTTTAAACTCTCCCTTTTGAGTTGGGGACTTGGTCCACGGGCCACGTTTGTCGATGAGAGGAGGAAGGGACAGTGACAGTCGTGAGCATCCTCTGCTGAGTGGCTGCTCTGTGCCTGGCACTGGGCCCTGGGCCTACGTTCATTTGCGTGTCTGACTCTCATGCTGCCCTGGGTCTCCCACTGTTCCTACATCCGGTGATGACACTGAGGTGATGAAACTGGGTCAGGGTGTGTCCAGAGCTCACAGTTGCTGCGTGACGAACCCAGGATTCAAGCCGCCAAGGCCTCCTCTTGCCTGAAAGGGTCGCGCCTCCCTTCACACTCCCACTCCTGCTGCAGGCCACAGTGTGTTTCCTTCCTCGGGACGGAGATTGGGAAGCACTGGCTGTGGTTGGAAGTAGTCGTTGGGTGCAGGGGCCCCTCTCCCTTGCTGCTCTTAATTCTGCTCTGTGTCTGTCCCAGAGATGCGGGCCCTCTCTGTGCCCGCTGCGGATTGTCTCATCCGGAGTCCCTGTCCACAGGCCTCCAGTCCCTGCTGGCCCAGCCCGCCTCTTCCTCCAGCCGCCAGAGCCTCCGGGGAAGGGGCTACTGAGACATTCTACATTCCAACTTAGCACCAGGAGGGGAGGGGGGTCTGCGTGGGAGCCTGGAGCAGGGAGCTGCTCTGCATCCGGGCTCTAAGCGGGTGTCTCCCCCCTTAGGTCTGGAAGAGGTCGGGGGCCTGGTTCTACAAAGGGCTCCCCAAGTACATCCTGCCCCTGAAGACCCCCGGCCGGGCTGATTACCCCCACTTACGACCTTTGCCTGTGGAACCGGCTGAGCAAGAACCCAGAAGCACGGAGACCAGTCGAGTCTACACGTGGGCCCGTGGGAGAGGTAAGACCCCCTGTCCCCTCTCCCGGGATAGCACTGACCTTCAGGCCATCAGCCGGCCGGTGCCACGGGCGGGCACCAGGCCAAGGCCACCACATTCTCCTCGGGGCTCACACTGGTGTTTCATGCCTCTCTGTGCCCTGACTCCCCGCCTGCACCCACGTGGGTGGCTGGACCTCAGCACAGTGGTTGTTTGCAGCCTGAGGGTCTGTTTCACAAACAAGCGCTAACTTGGGGGTGGGGTGCCGTGAACAGCACTGGATCTTTGCAGAAATGTGATGTCAGTTGAGATTTTGGGCAAAGTATGAAAATGTGTCTTTTCGAGGTAGGCCTGTATCATCTCTTTTCAACCCTCGTCTTGTGTCTCAATAAAGGGGGCTCTTGGCTTCCCTGGTCCTAGTGAGGAAGTGGCCTTGTGCCCGTGGTGGCTGCCCTGACGTGGGTGCCTTCCAGGTACCCGCTGTCAGAAGGGGAGCTCCGCCCACTGGTAATTAGCATAGTACCTGGCGTGGCAGATGTCTCTTGCAAGATGCTTTCATGTTCATGGTTTTGCTTTCAGAGTTCCTGGTCTCACAACAGGCTCTGAAAGTGGACAGGGCAGGTGGTTAGTAGCCCCATTTTATAGATGAGTAGCCTGAGGCCCAGAGAGAAGGAAGGGCTTCCTGTGTGGCAGAGCTGGGACCAACAGGCAGCGTCCTGCTCTCTGGGCTCTGGCTCCTTCTGCCCCAAAGTGCCTGAGTTTCAGCCCAAGACTCAGGGACTGAGGGTCCTAAGTGAGATAAGGCCAGAGGGGTGAGGGGTTCATCCTGACACTGGGCTTTTAGACCCAAGAAAATAGACACACAGCTGCTTCCGCGGGGCCCTCGGCGTCTGTCTTTGGATTATGACTTGGCAGCTGCCTATCTTTGTACCATTTGGGGTGGTTTTTTTCTTGTTACAGAAGTACGGCGTGTTTATTATAAAATTGTGAAGGTTGTCAAAAGATATAATTTAGCAGGAAAAAATTCCCTATAGGTCTGCCCTCCCAAACATCACCAGCAGTTAGCACCTTGGCATCTGTTCTCCGGGCATCCTTTTCTCGGCATCACTCGGCTCCTTCTGCAGCAGCAGGCCTTCCTTGGCCATGAGTTCACCGTCCCTGCCATCACTGCCACCGACAAGCCCCGTAGGGACCACCTGCAGGCACAGACTGGCAGGCAGAGTGAGGGGAGCAGGCTGGGACTGGCACGCGGGGGCGCTGGGGCTGGCCAGCCTTGGAGGGAGCCTGGGGGAAGTTGTTGGAGAAGCGGCTCCCTCCTCCCTTCTTTCCCGTTCCCACCCTCAGAGCTGGGCTCTCTCGGGTTCCAGCCCAGTCAGGGTGAGTCAGGGTCCCTCAGGCCGGGGGGGAGAGACGCAGCCATGGAAACAGAGGCTGTGGACACGGTCAGGTTTAGAATGTGGCTGAGTGGGTTGAGGAGGGGAGGCCCTGAGGCCCCCACCCAGAGGGGCCCTCGGTGCCCTTTCTGCTCCGGCATCTCGATGGTGCACACGTGCACACACGCACACACACGCACACGCCATCTCCTCCTCAGCCACACAGACACAGATGGCCTTTCGGTTACGTGGGCGAGGAAGCAGCAGCCCGTACGCTCCGAGAGAGGCCAGGCCATGTGGAGGCCCCTCTGGGGACTCGCTCTCCCTCTGCTTCCCAGAGCACAGGGCGCGGCCTGTGCCAGGCCCAGCACAGGCTGTGACCATCCTCCCAGTGCCCGCAGAGGAGGCCGCCCTTCTGCTCGGCAGGTGGCCCCGTGTCTCACCAGGGGCAGCAGGACCGCGAAGGCTGGTGGCTCTGGCAGGTTGTGGAGGCTCAGGCGGTGTCTGCACCCACCAAGAGCAGGGTGCACCAGGGATGGGTGGGCTGCCTGTGGTGGGCAGGACTGAACTTGGGGCAACCGCAGTCGGGGCGGGGAGGCAGGAACAGGTGCTGGTGGAGGAGGCAGGACAAGCAGAGCCATTCAGTGCGGGTGGCGTAAGACGCCAGAGTGTCCCCGGTTTGCAAGGAAGGGCGCCAGAGAGCCCCCCGCAGGCCGACTGCCCCTGCTGCTTCTGGGCCGATCCTGGGTGGCTGTGCTGGTCCTCCCTGATGAGCCTGTGCAGAAGCCAGGATCTCTGCTTTTTTACTGACCCGGTGTGCACTCACAGAGGCTCTCGGCGGCTACCGGATACTGTGGGAGACCATGGGCCTGGGCCGGCTGGATTCAGCCTTATAGCTGGTCCTGAGTCTGGGGACAAGGGTTGGGGAGCCCTCTTGCCAGCCCCATGCCAGCCCTTCTGTGGCTTCCTGGTTCATGTGGCTTCAAGGTCAAGTCTGTGGCAGCCCCAGGAAGACTCGGCCCTGCCTGCCTCTAGGAAGCCCCCCAAGCTGCCAGGGGCTGCTGCCTCCCTCTGGGTTCCTTCTCAGGCCGGTTTCCCTCAGCTGTCAGGCTCCTGGCAGCAGGCAGCTCCCAGCAGGCAGCCTTGGGAGTGGGCACAGGGACATCACCAGGCCTTTCCAAACCACTGCTGACTGGGGACCCAGTTGGTGTTTCTCTCCCCATCCCCAGCCCCACCATCAGCCCAGGTGTGGTCCAGGTCAAAGCTTGTCTGGTAAGCCCAGCCTTCATAGCACCCCATTCAGCCAAAACTGAGCTTGAGGCCAGGTGGGAACAGTGACCAGCACTGGGCTGTGGCCTCCCCACCACACTGAACGCTGCATGTGGGCGGGGCCATGGCTCTCCTGAACAGGCACGGGATAGACATTATTCAATGAATGAATGAACCACCCACCTGCTCCAGGATATTTGAAAGACCTTGGGAGGGGTTTCATCAGGGCCTGCAGGCACCTCTAGGTCAGGGGTCTGTTGAGCAGCCCCAGGGAACACACGGGGGGGTGTGAGAATCCCCCCGCTCTCTGGAGGAGTCTCTCATCCCAGGCCACTGCCTCAGGGACCCCAGGGTCAGCATCCCCCTTCGCCCCGAAGTCTCTGCTCCCTGGCACCAGAGCTGATTCTGGTACCAGCGTATTCTCTCTGACCTACTCCCCTCCACACCCCGCCCTGTTCCTCCATCTCTCTCCCGCTCCCTCTCCCAGCCCTTGGGCTGGTATACCTGTGGCTCCCAGCTTCCCCCCACCCCATTCCAGCCCACCCTACTTTCTTGCTCCTGCCCTTTTGAAGGAGGAAAGGTAATCAGTAGATACAAGCCATGAACTTTTCAGTCCACAACACATCGGATGAAATGCATTGATGTTTCCGAGGCAGGTTCCATTTCCTCCTCCTTTAAATTCTCTTTGTCCGTTTTTAATTACGTAAACACACATAATATATGTTAACAGATTAATTCAAAGGTGCATGAAAAATTAAAATCTCTCCCCTTGCCATCATCTCAAGCAAGCCTCTTCTTCTTTCTCCCTGCTCCTATAAACACATACTTGACATTGGGTTATGTTTTGTTTTGTTTTTAGTAACAAAAATAGGCTCTTACCCATAACTCTGCGCGTTGCTTTTTTCACTTGAAAGAGTATCATGGGCATCCCTCCAGATCAGTAGATATAGATTTTACTTTATTATTTTTCATGGCTTAATAAAACCCCATTATATCCTGTATTGTTATTTAATTATTCACCTATTGATGGACATTCCACGTGTTTCTGGCTTTTCATACTGCAGGCAATACTGAAACACTCTTCTATGTATGTGATGCTTTTATTACCAGGGGGTAGGTTTCCCAAAGCAGGTTTGTGTGTTTTAAATTTCAATAGACATTGCCGATCTATATTCCAAAAGTGTTACAGTCTTTTATACTCATTTATCCCTGCGTCCTTGCTTGCCATGAATAGTACTGATAGTTATCATTTTGGCAAGTATACTAGATGGAGAATGACATTTTATTATTTTGTACATTTGAGTATCACTTCCTATCTTGATTATTCATTGATTATTTAGGTTTCCTCTTTTAAAAATTACCTGTTTAACTCCATTGCTCATTTTTTATTAAATGATTTTCTCTTATTGATGTGTTAGGGATACTAAATAGGTTGAAAATAATTTCCTCCTTGACTTTACATTTTATATAATATTTTGACATTCAAAAACCATTTTTTTTTCTTAATTCTTGTGAATTTAAGCATGTCTTTTGCCTGTGGTTTCTAGGTTTCCTACTTTGCTTTGAAATGTCTTCCTCTCCAAGGTTAAAAATATCTGCTAGCCGAAACCGGTTTGGCTCAGTGGATAGAGCGTCGGCCTGCGGACTGAAGGGTCCCGGGTTCGATTCCGGTCAAGGGCATGTACCTGGGTTGCGGGCACATCCCCAGTAGGAGGTGTGCAGGAGGCGGCTGATCGATGTTTCTCTCCCATTGATGTTTCTAACTCTCTATCTCTCTCTCCCTTCCTCTCTGTAAAAAATCAATAAAATATATTTTAAAAATATATATATATCTGCTAAAGACCTGGCCGGTTTAGCTCAGTGGATAGAGCGCCGGCCTGCCGACTCAAGGGTCCCAGGTTCGTTCCGGTCAAGGGCAGGTGCCTTGGTTGCGGGCACATACCCAGGGGGGCGTGTGCAGGAGGCAGCTAATCGATGTCTCTCTCTCATTGATGTTTCTAACTCTCTATCCCTCTCCCTTCCTCTCTGTAAAAAATCAACAAAATATATTTTTTTAAATCTGCTAAATAAAATGTTTAAGTATTATAAGAATAAAAGGAAATTACTTTAAAATTATAAAATTACCAAAAAGAGGAAAAAATCGAAATCAAATATATTAACTGATAAAGCACTGAAGCCATGTTCTATCCACATGCAAACCAGGAATACCCATCATCACCACCATTCATAATCTTATATAGTATTTAATGTAATAATGCACAAAAATAAAACAAACTCTTCCTATTGGAAAAGAGAAGAAATTCTCTTACTTGCAGATGGTGTGATGGTATAGCAAGAAAGTCCAAGAGAGTCTACTAGGACTCTCCTAAAACAACCCACTA